TTAGATAAGTCCTGTACATAATTGTTGGTTTCTTGAATTCCTACTTAAATTAGATGCATCCCTTTTGTACATGGGATGAGATGAGATTTGAAATAAGGGACCTAAGATGTCTGCTGCAAGCATAAAATTTCAACTTCAGGACAAATTCTCTTATACTACTCCTAACATTATACTCCATATTCAACAGTTGAGATTTAACTAGTTTTTATATTTAATGTAATGACGTATATATGATGATGCTGTCTGTGTTGAAAATTTAATGGACTTCAATTCCACACATTTAATTCCCTAGAAGTTGGGGAAGGTGACACTCCCGAGAACCAATCTCCAATGTTATAAAGTTTGATAAACTTTCAAGAGTCTTCTGGTACATCCTTATGGATTGCATTAGTCTTTCTAGTATAACTTATTTCATTGACATATGTTCAGCTTAGATCATAGAGCATGAATGGAGATCATCATGGTTCCTGACACATGTTTAACTTATGTATTAATAATCAAAAGCATTAGCTTATTTTGGTAAATGTTGGGAAGTAAGTCCCTAATCATCTGTCTTATTGTTTCGGAGATTGTTTAAATACCTGTTGAGCTACTTCTCTCATTGCTAACGGGTTTTGAGATGAAACCTTAACATGTATCAGAGTCAGAACTCAGCTTTTTTCTCGTTGTAATATGCCAAAAAGATGTCCTAACATCACTTAGTCTAAGAGTAAGTTTATCTCTCATCAAAATTTATACTAATGATACATAAATATTAAACACTTTATAGTTGTATCCGAACATAAAAAAATACTTGATAAGATTTATATTGTTTTTGGTATATATATTATAAGAGTAATGATATATCATCCTACTAAATTTTCTTATTCACAACAAGAAAGTGAGATATATTACTCGTAAATCAATCATTAATGAACAAAGTATCACTTTATAACATATATCACTTTCATATGAGTAATAGTATTTATAGGATGATGTACTATGATGATATATCATTTTACATATTATAATTATGGTCAAATGTAAACCTTATCAATTTCCAAGGATTGAGCCTAGTTGTATGTGAGCCTTCCATTTAAGGAAAAGACCAAAGTTTCAACCTTGGAGAAGAGAATTATTGATAGAGATTCTTAATTACCTTAGTACATTAGTGGTGAGTCTAATAGAAACACTACTCATTATGTATTTTGTTGCAGTTGGATATAGTTTACTTGTACATTAATGTGCTTTATATTTTTTTGGGGTGAATGATATTATTGTTGTTATGGAATGGTACTTGATGCAGGATAACTGGCCTTCTGTTATGTTTGCCATGGCGGGTGGGGTAGTCCTTAGCATTGGAAATCTGTCCACACAATATGCTTGGGCTTTTGTTGGTTTATCAGTTGTAGAAGTCATATCATCAAGCATGACCGTCGTTATAGGTACATTTTTTTAGTAACATAAAATAAATATAATATTTATGCAACGTTATTATAGAAATTTATACACAATTATCAACTATCATTTATTTGTATTACTTTTTTGAATAGCCAAAGATTTGTATTACATTTGTATAAAATTCTTACACTGATAGTGCATATATTGTTTTCTCAATCTCTATACTTTCAGTAATCTGTATCACCCATTTGACACCAATAAGAGTCACCTAATTACAAATTCTGTAACTTGTTTTTAATGGAAGTTAATTTATTTTATTTTAATGAGATGACTATTTGTAGGCAAAGATTACAGTATATTAGTGAGGGTATATTTCTGTTCTTTTTTTATAACTCTGGCTAGATATATCAAAATATTCATTTAAGATTTGAGAGATTGTTCATGATAAAAATATCAAACTATTCATGTATTCATGTAAGTTTCAATATCTTGCTTTGTATCTATGGTAATGTTAGTATGTTAATATTTGTAGTAGGTGAGACTCGAAAACCCTCAACATCTGATCTTTATCACTTTATTCCATAAACCCTTCGCCCTAACCATCTTATAACTTCATTCTATTTCTGTTTTAATTGTAACAGGAACAACATTGAATTACTTTTTGGATGACAAAATCAACAAAGCTGAGATTCTTTTCCCAGGAGTTGGTTGCTTCTTGATTGCAGTTTGTATAGGCTCTGTTGTGCATTCATCTAATACTGCTGATAACAAGGCCAAGCTCAATGATTACAAAGATGCAGCTCAGTATGGGTTGTTTTTTTACAACTATATATTTATTGATATGATCATTGACTATTATTGATTCCTCCAACTAAATAATATGCACTACCCATTTCCTAAAAATGGAAAAAATAAAAGTAGAAAGAAAATGCTTCTTAGCTTCTTTTTGGAGCACAAATACTTGAGTTGGAATGGTTATATTAGTTTCTTGATGATTACTGAATTTGTTCTGGAATGACAAAACTGTAATTTCATTATAATTAAAGGATATATGTGTCATTGAAGATTGATTTCTTTTTTGTTTTTGAAGTACTTGTCTCTCCATTAATTGAAATTATCCTAACTTCACCATTCTTTGTTCTTTTGTCAGGGATACCAATTTATCCTCTTTGAAAGAAACAAGTGGAGGTAATAATGTGTAATTTTCAATGTAGTGGAACTGTTATATATTTGATATAATCATATAATAGTTGATTTTTGCCCCACTTTTATTACATATAGTTGATTCAAAGGATCTAGAGAATGGAAGTGGTTTTACAAACAAAGCCAAAGCAGGAACTGCAGTTTTTCTTATAGAGCTTGAGAACAGAAGATCCATTAAGGCATGTGCTAATGTTTTATCATTTTATTATACACTTCAGTTTTCACAAACCTTTTCCCTTCATTGTGTTCCAATTAGATATTGTTCTTATCTTAAACCTTTTGTAGGTGTTTGGGAAAAGCACTTTCATTGGATTGTCTATAACATTCTTTGCTGGAGTTTGCTTTTCTCTATTTTCACCAGCATTTAACTTGGCAACAAATGACCAATGGCACACTTTAAACAAAGGGGTTACCCATTTGAGTGTTTATACAGCTTTCTTTTACTTTTCAGTCTCTTGTTTTGTTGTAGCAATCATTCTAAACATCACATTCCTTTACTACCCTGTCTTGAACTTACCAAAATCATCAGTGAAGGCTTATTTGAGAGACTGGGATGGAAGAGGTTGGGCTTTGTTGGCTGGTCTGCTTTGTGGGTTTGGGAATGGCCTCCAATTTATGGGAGGTCAAGCTGCAGGATATGCAGCAGCAGATGCTGTTCAGGTGAGTTCTTCCTTCCGAAATATCAGTAGTTACATGATTCTCTTATTGACCTTTCATATCGCGTACTAAATTCATCTTATCATATATTACATTTTTATTTCATCATAAAAAAGGTCTCCATGAAATTAATGTAAAGGAACTAACCATCTAACCATGTAATCTAGGTACCCATAGAAGGTAACTAATAATGGATTATGGGTATTCCATTATTAATCTTGTTAAACACTTAGTACACATCATTTACCAGTTATTTGCACATTGCTCATTGCTCACTAGTAATGGATTATTTGCACATTGCTCACTAGTGCAAAAATGATATAGATATAGTTGTTGTTTCACTTTTTATTTCTGACTAGATGGAACTTTGCCAATTAAAATATTTTTATATACATGTAAGACAATGCTCTTAACCATTTTCTTTTAACAAAACTTCCATTTTTATTTGTAATGAATGTTATTTTGACGTGAGTGCAATATTGCGATGAGCGACAATCACGATTGCAATTTAAAATACTGGTTAGATTTGGTGTGCTTAATAACCACTCCACTTTGTCATGGACATTGATATTAATTTATCTTACATTTTCCTTTAAATCATCAAATATAGTTCCCCCATAAATTATAGTTAACTGAAAACGTGATGTTTATACAGGCACTTCCACTTGTTAGCACCTTCTGGGGTATCTTTTTGTTTGGGGAGTATCGTAAATCATCAAGAAGAACATATATACTTCTTGGCGGAATGTTGCTTATGTTTATTGTCGCTGTTGCTGTACTCATTGCATCAGCTGGGCATCGAAAATGATCATTCAGCTGAAGAGAAAATATGCACACACACACACATCATTAGTTTCAACTACAAGATATTGTTCTTTGCAAAAAAAATATGTACAAGTATTCTCAAGTTAAATAGTGTTAATAAGAGACAAAGTGCCTATTAAGAAAAGGTATAGAGTATAGAACAAGAGAGTAGAATAAGAACACAGAGACACGGTTGAAGTCATTATTGATTATGGCACCTTTGTTTTAGTATATTAATGATAGACAAAGATGAGGCTCAACACTAAAAAGATCAACAGGGGGGTGGGGGTAAGTTTGTCACGCCCAATGATCACACCGTAACTGGTGTGTGACTCCAAATTACAATGATGCAGCCACAACACAATCACGTTGGACGACATCAGGTTCCACATTGTCCATAATCCGCATCACAATAACTGTAATCACACTAACCACAAACACAATTTGAACACCGGTCACGCCCAAGACCATCCAAATTTATATGCTGACTGGACACGTTTTTTTAAGCACATGGCGAACAAGGAATCATGCTTACACGTTTTGTAATATAAAATTGATTTGACTTAGTTTAGAAATTTTTTTATATTACAAATAGAATATATTATTTTTTAATTATTTTATTGTATTACCTTAAATAAGTAAAATAAATAAATCAAACGTTTTGTAATATAAAATTGATTTGACTCAGTTTAGAAATTTTTTATATTAAAAATAGAATATATTATTTCCTTAATTATTTTATTGTATCATCTTAAATAAGTAAAAAAAATAATATATTAAGATATCAATGTTTGAATTTAAATATGTGGTCTACACTTAAAAGCTAGTTACTATGATATAAAAGTGTAATATTTTAAACAAAAAAATGTATGATGTGTGTAATTAATTAAACAAAATATTGTATATTTTGTAGACAAATTCAAATAATACAAAGCGAGTGTAAAGTAAAAAACAATTCGCTAGAAGGAGGGCTTGAACCTCCGACCTTGTGGTTAACAGCCACACGCTCTAACCAACTGAGCTATTCCAGCTTTGCGTTACTTACGCACTATAGCTATTACTCAATCTAAAACGTACAATTCTGCTGTGTACAATTCTAGTTCATGGAAAAGAATCCAATGATGTTGGACCTTCAAACTTTGCCCCTTTTGCTTCAATGAATGAAGTGTGCCAACACTGATGCCCTTGATTTTGTACTTGTCAAATGAATGTTCAAGAACATGTTTTTGGTCCCATTGAAAACGTGGGGTGGGGTACTTGTTGTGATAAGAAGGAAGAATGGTAGCCTTGTTGCTTTATATTGAGGGTTTTTTAGGAGAATCTTAGGGTTTGTTTGGATGAGAAGGTTGATTTATGAAGCCTGATTTGATGCTTGCAATGCAGACTTGGAAGGGTGTTGTTGTGAGATTGAGTATGCTGACAGAGTTGTTGGTATAATGTCTAATATTGGTGTTACACCAAATGAATTGAGTTTTGGGTTTCTCGGTTATTTGTATGGTTAAAAGTTCTGATGGGTGGATTTAATTACTCAAATATAAATATATATATATATATATATATATATATATATATATATATATATATATATATGATATGTTCATATATATTCTTAGAAATGCAAGATATCATGTGCATGTTATCACATAAAATATAATATGCTTATAAAATTTATAAAACATACAAAAGATATAATGTTATTATTAGTCATTATAATTATTGTTATTATTTTGCATTTATCCAGTGATTGGATTATCATGTGTTAAAATATTTTTATTTGTTTGAATGGATTTTGTTTTGGTTATTGTTTAATGAAGTGACAATGTTTGGATCAAGATGCTAGGAGCTGTTATATTTGGAATTATTCCATAATGTTAAAGTTATGAGATAAATAGTCTAATGTGAGAGAGAAGACAAATGTTCTCTTAGAATATTTCATTGAAGTTCTTCATTTTCTTTTATGAAACTCCCATGGAAATTATTTCCATTTAAGAGTCTTTAAAAACTTATATGTTTCGAATTGTTAGAAAATATGTGTTTATGAAATTGTTAGTGTATACCATAATGTGAGTTACTTGGTTATAATATCATGAAAGGTTATATGAATTATAAAACATGTAAAAATGATATGACATGAAAATGTGTGTGAATATTTAAATGATATCATCATCTAATGTTAAATCGTTAAATAATTATATCAAATAGTTAAATTGTTTTATATCTCACCATCTAATAGAGACTTTCCTTTTAGTACAACCTAACACAATATAAATTAATGAGAAATGGTGGTGAAACTTCAAATTGAAATGAGGGATTCCAAGTTTGTGTTCTTGGCATATCTATTAGTTTGTTCAGTGCTACAAATGTTGTTATCACATGGAGATCAACCTCTTGTCAAAAGTTATTATTCATAAGGACACATCCTCCTTATTGACCTTGCTCACTTCAAATCATCTTGCTCACTTTAAAGCATCTCCATCAGTTAGGTCTTGGAATACAAGTTTTAATACTGTTGTGCTATTTAATTTTATCTCTAGTGTAATTTGTATGTTTAAGATACCAACTACTATGGTTGTGTTGTGGGTTTACATACATAATGATATTGAAGAGAGACAACAAAATAACACAATTAATCAAGCAATTTCATCTATATATGCAAAAGATATATGATACAAATGTTTTATGCTCCACAACAAATCATCATCAATTATATTATATCTCATGCAATGCATATTCAATTTAATCTACCGGCCTCTGTAATGTTTACCAACGAAACAAAATAGCAACTAATCAAACAAGGCAACAGTGAATGAAATATTTCTTTTATATTGATAACCAAAAGGAGAATTCCAACTTCATAGAGTTGCAGAATTCTGTTACATAAAAGTAGACAAAATGAAATGATGGTAGCAGAGAATGAACCAAAAGAGAGAGAAAGTTCTAAATCAATACAACCATAATGCTGTGATTTTCCTCCTTAGCTAATATACTAGCCTCACACCCAATATCCTGTCATACGTGTGTTTTTCATTTTTTTGCGGGCCCCCCTTCCCAATTGTGTAACTAATTCACCCTGGTCCACTTGCTGATTTTCCTCTTTAGCCCTTTTCTCTTTCTCCTTGCTATCAGCATTCATTACAATTCCCCTTCCATTAAAATTAACCTTGTCCTTAAGGTTGACATCTGGGAAAGCCTCCAATAGAATTGCATGATCTTCCCATGTAGCATGAGAAGAGTCCAATCCTTCCCACAAAATGAGGTGTTGTTTGACCTGTTGGCTGCCTCGAATAATGGTTCTTGTTTGCAATATCGAATTTGGTTGAATCACAGGTCTGGAATTATCATAAGTCATAGGCAGAGGAATGTATGGTTGAACATGATTACCATGGCAGAGTTTCAGTTGTGAGACATGGAACACATGATGAAGTTTAGTGTTCTCTGGTAGGGATAACTTATAAGCCACCTTCCCAATTATTTTTTCAATTGTAAAAGGACCAAAGTAACGGAGGCTTAGTTTCTGATTCTTCCTCAAAGCAAGAGAGTGTTGCCTGTATGGTTGAAGTTTCACGAAGACCTTGTCTCCAATCTAAAATTCAACATGTGTTCTCTTCAAATCAGCATTTTTCTTTTGAATTTGTTGTGCCCTCTGTAAATGAATCTTAAGTTGAGCTAAAATGTGATCTCTTTGTAACAATTTCTCTTGGACAGCTAATGGTTCCTCACTAGTAGGTGCATACCTAATCAGCTTTGGAGGATCCCTTCCATAAACAGCTTTGAAGGGGGACATGCCTATACTAGTATGGTATGCAGTATTATACCAATACTCAGCCCAGGGTAAAAGCTTGATCCATTCTTTGGGACTATCAAAAGTGAAGCATCTAAGGTACATTTCAAGGCATTTGTTCACAGCTTCAGATTGCCCATCTGTTTGTGGGTGGTAAGCTGTAGACATAGTCAAGGTTGTGCTACTCAATTTCAGAAGATCTTGCCAAAAATGACTTGTGAATACCTTATCTCTATCTGAAACTATAGTTTTTGGGATACCATGTAGTTTAACCACCATGTTCATGAAGGTTTCTGCTACTTGCTTACTGTTATAGTTACTTTTGAGAGTTGCAAAGTGAGCATACTTAGATAATCTGTCCACAACCACATAGATTACTGTATAACCATGAGAGGAGGGTAACCCTGTGATGAAGTCCATGGCTATATCCTCCCAAATTTGTTCAGGAATTGGTAATGGTTGCAAGAGTCCTGAGGGAAGAGCATTGGTTGTTTTGGCTTGTTGGCATACTAAACAGTGTTGAATAAATTGCCTGATGTCACTATGCTTCCAGACCAGAAAAATTGAGATGCAATTCTTGCAAGTGTTCTAGTATAGCCAGCATGTCCACCCATTGTGGAGCTATGAAATTCCTTTAATACTTGTTGAATCATTTCTTGGTTCTTGGGGACAACAATTCTATCCTTCCACAATAATAGCTTATCATCGACTGAGTAGTGTGAATTTGTTGCCTTTTTTTCAGAACACTCTGCAATAATGACAACTAATTCAGGGTCTGCAGCCTGTGCTTTTCTCAGGGCCTCGAGAAAGTGTGTTTCTATAGTTGACCATGCCATAAAAAATGATATGGATAGTGCATCAGCAGGAATATTTTCCTTTCCTGGTTTGTATTCAATAGTGAAATCATATCCAAAGAGCTTAGGTAACCAAGATTGTTGTTCAGGAGTTTGCAATGTTTATTTAGTGAGTGTCTTTAGGCTCTTTTGGTCAATTCTAATGATGAATTTATGGCCAAGTAAATAGTGCCTGAACTTTGAAATAGCCTCAGTGATAGCAAAAGATTCTTTGGAATAAACAGATTGTTTATGCATTCTTGGTGACAATTTCTTAGAGAAGAAAGCAATGGGATGACCTTCTTGACTTAGAATAGCTCCAATGCCATTTCCTGATGCATCAGTTTCCAAACTTAATGGCTTTGAAAAATTAGGCAAAGCTAACACAGGGGCCTTAGTAATTGCATGTTTTAATGCTTCAAAGGCTAAAGTAGTAGCTGGTTCCCATTTAAAACTATCTTTATTAAGAAGATTTGTAAGTGCATAAGCTATTGATGCATATCCCTTGATAAATCTCTTGTAATAGCCTGTAAGACCCAAGAAGCATCTTAATTGTTTCAGATTATGAGGAATTCGCCAGTCAATTAAAGCTTGAACTTTGTCTTTATCCATTGCCACACCTTCACCAGAAACTGTATGGCCTAGATATTCTACTTGAGTTAAACCAAATGCACATTTGGATAACTTTGCAAATAATTGATTGTATTGTAGAACCTGTAAAACTGATTGAAGATGTTGCATATGAGAATTCCAAGTAGGGCTGTAAACAAGTATGTCATCAAAGAATACAAGAACATATTTTCTTAACAACCCTTTGAACACATCATTCATCAAGCTCTGAAAAGTTGCATGGACATTGGTGAGCCCAAAGGGCATCACAAGCCACTCATAATGACCTTGATGGGTCTAGAATGCAGTTTTGTATATGTCCTCCTCATTCACGAGAATCTGGTGATAACCAGATCTAAGATCCAACTTGGAGAAGAATATAGCTCCATACAGTTCATCTATCAATTCATCTACAGTGGGTATAGGAAAATTGTCTTTGATGGTGATAGCATTAAAAGCTCTATAATCAATGCAAAACCTCCATGTCCCATCTTTCTTTTTCACCAAAAGGATAGGAGAAGAAAAAGGGCTTGTGCTAGGAGAAATAATACCTTCATTGAGCATCTCTTGAACCATCTTTTCAATTTGTTCCTTTTGGCTATGAGGGTACCTATATGGTTTTACTTTGACAGGATGTGACCCTTGCATCAAAGGAATAGAGTGGTTTTGGGCTCTAGGAGGTGGTAACCCCACAGGAACAGCAAAGACCTCTTTATAAGTATGCAGCAAAATGGCAAGTTCAGGTTCTATATTTGTTGGGATATCTAGTAATTGATCCTGAGATTTAGATTTTTGTGTAAAACACAGGGAGTATAGTTCTGCAATAGCATCTGTATGCTGTAATCTCCTCAAC